GAAGCTCAGAGATCTAGAAAAAAGAACAACAAAAAAACCCAAAACCAGTAGAAGAAAAGAAATAATAAAACCAAAGCAGAAATAAATGAAATTGAAACTAAAAAAAAAATCCAAAAAGATCAATGAAACCAAGAGCTGGTTCTTTGAAAAAATCAATAAAATAGACAAACCCCTAGCCAGGCTCACAAAGGAAAAAAGGGAGAAAGCACAAATAAACAGGATCATAAATGAAAGAGGAGAAATCACAACGGACACAGCAGAAATCAAAGAATAATCAGTAACTGCTATGAACAGTTATATGGAAACAAGTACAACAATCTAGAGGAGATGGACAAATTCCTACAACTCTACAATCACCCAAAGCTAGATAAAGAAAGAAATGAACACCTAAGCAGACCAATTACAAGCAGCGAAATTGAAATGGTAATCAAAAACCTTCCCCAAAAACAAAAGCCCAGGACCTGATGGATTTACAAATGAATTCTACCAAAGATTCAGAGACGAATTGAGTGCCTATCCTTCAAAAACTCTTCCAAAAAATTGAGAAGGAAGGGACAATACCAAACACGTTCTATGAAGCCAACATTACACTAATACCAAAACCGAATAAGGACAACACAAAAAAGGAAAACTACAGGCCAATCTCCCTAATGAACACTGATGCAAAAATCCTCAATAAAATTTTAGCTATCAGAATCCAACAATGTTCCATAAGATAATTCACCACGACCAAGTAGGATTCATTCCAGGGACACAAGGATGGTTTAACATCCGAAAATCAATCAACGTTATCCAACACATCAACAAAAGAAATATAAAAACCATATGATAATATCAATAGATGCTGAGAAAGCTTTCGACAAATTGCAACACCCATTCATGATAAAAGCCCTTGAAAATCTTGGGATACAAGGAACATACCTCAACATCATAAAGGCCATCTATGACAAGCCAACAGCCAGTATCATCCTCAATGGTGAAAAGTGAAAGCAATTCCATTAAGATCTGGAACAAGACAAGGATGTCCACTCTCACCACTGCTTTTCAATATAATACTGGAAGTCCTAGCCAGAGCAATAAGACAAGAGAAAGACATACAAGGAATCCAAATAGGGAAGGAAGGAGTTAAACTATCACTGTTCGTAGATGATATGATAATATACATAGAGAACCCCAAAAACGCCACAGAACAACTAATCAAACTAATAAATCAGTTTAATAAAGCAGCAGCATACAAAACAAACACGCAAAAATCAGTAGCCTTCCTTGTACAATCTGAAGAAAAAGAAATCAAGAAAACTATCTCTTTTATTATTGAAACCAAAAAAAATAAATACTTGGGAATAAACCTTGCAAAAGAGGTAAAGGACCTATACAAAGAAAACTATAAAACACTGTTAAAAGAAATAGAAGGGCTCCCCGGTGTGAGCAGTTGAGCACTGGTTGCGAAGCTGCCCGCGGCCTCTGCGGCACGGTTTGATCCCCCGGCTGCTACCCGGCCACCGGAGGAGGGTCCCACATGGCGCACAGACCCCTCCTGCTGCCCACTGCTCCACTCTGCAGTGTACTTCGGTCCTTCTGCCTGCTCTGCTCCCCGCTCTGGCTCTGGTGAATTCTCTCACCCTCCCACGCTTCTGACTGTACCCAGTGCATGTATAAACAAAACAAAAAAACAAATAAATAAATAAAACATGCTTCCATTAAAAAAAAAACAATTAAAAAAAAAGAAATAGAAGAAGACACAAAGAAATGAAAAGACATCCCCTGCTCATGGATTGGAAGAATTAACATTATCAAAATGGCCATCCTACCAAAAGCAATTTACAGATTCAATGCTATTCCAATAAAATTTCAATGACATTCTTCAAAAGAAATAGACAAATATTGATGATTTAATGGACCCCACCAAAAACCCCAAATAGCCAAAGCTTTCCTGAAAAGAAGGGAATGGAGGTATCATACTCCCAGACTTCAAACTATACTACAAAGCCATAATCATCAAAACTGCATGGTATTGGAACAAGAACAGACACATGGACCAATGGAACTGAATAGAAAATCCAGAAATAAACCCACAGATTTACGGTCAACTAATCTTTGACAAAGGAGCAAAGACAGTGCACTGGAGCAAAGAAAGTTTGTTCAATTAATGGTGCTGGGAAAACTGGGTCACTACATGCAAAAGAATGAAGCTTGACTACTACCTCATACCATGCACAAAAATGAACTCAAAATGAATTAAAGAACTAGACATAAGATCTGAAACCATAAAATATATAGAAGGAAATATAGGCAAAACACTACATGACATATACCTCGGTAACATCTTTAAAGACACATCACCTAAAGCAGTGATAGTGAAGGCAAAGATAAACAGCTGGGATTACATCAAATTAAAGAGCTTTTGTACAGCAAAAGAGACAGTAACCAAAACAAAGAGACACCCCACCGATTGGGAGAAAATTTTTACACAACACTAATTATAAAGGACTAATCACAAAAACCTACAAGGAGCTGATGAGGTCAACAAAAACAAAGTAAATAATCCAGTCAAAAAATGGGCAGAAGAGCAAAAAAGAAACTTCTCTAAAGAGGAAATGCAAATGGCCAACAGGTATATGAAAAATTGTTCTACATCACTTGTAATCAGGGAAATGCAAATCAAAACTATAATGAGATACCATCTTACACCAGTGAGAATGGCACATACTAAAAAAACTAGCAACAACAAATGTTGGCGAGGTTGTGGAGAAAAAGGAACTCTTCCTGCACTGCTGGTGGGAGTGCAAACTGGTCCAACCACTATGGAATTTAGAAAACCTAAATAAGGGACCAGGTAAAAGACTAATTATAATAAAGTAAAAATCAAAATCAACAAGCAACAATAAACCAGAGACTCACTACAGAGGGATAGGAGGGAGTAGGAGCAAAACAACGGGGGTGGGAATTTTATGGGGACTATAACCAAGATGAAAATGCATACGTTGTGCAAAAATGAATAATGATATAATAAATATATAAAATGAAAAAAATAAAAATAGAATAGTGCAATGCATTCCCATATACCTACCAGTAAAAATCCATAGTTACCAAGATTTTGCCATATTTGTTTCATCTATCGCTCCTTTTGTTTTTTTCCCAAACTTACCTGTGCTTTAAAGCAAATTCCAGATAATGGGTCATCTCCCTAACTCCCACTCTGTGTACTTCTGAATGCATCTCTAAAATATATGGACATTTTCTCACATAGCCACAATTCCATTTTCATAAATAATAAAATTAATAAGTTGATAATTCTTTGATTTTTTTAAATACTGAGTCCATTAGCAAATCCCCTCAACTGTCCAACCAAGAAAAGGGCATTTCTACAATGAATGTGTTTAAATCAGGATATAAATGGGGTCTATATAGCCTTTGGTTGTTTCATCTTTTGAGTCTCAACTAGAGCAGTTCTCCCTTTTGTTTTATGCTATTGATTATTGTAAAAACTGTGTAATTGTCCTATAACACATCCTACCTTCAAGATTTATTTGCTTCTTTGTGACATTTTCTTTTTTAAAGAAACCAGATCACTTAACTGCAGAAAATCTAACTTTTCTCATGATGTTATAGAAGACTTTTTTTTAAATCTCTGTGATTCCTGAAAACTGGAAGTAATACGATTTTAGGTCTTCTGTAAAACTACTTTCCAGGTCGTACTATGAATTTCCTGTTGCATTGCAGCAGGAGGCACATTAAGTCATCTGTTGCACTGTTTGTAACAGCAAAGTTAATAATTTAGGGGTAACTCCCGATCCCACCATTATAAAGGCTGGTTTTTTCCCTTGCATCTAGCAGAGTAATCGGTGAGCTAATGCTTTAGTACTATATGACTATTCAGTTCCCTAGAATTGTTTAATTAAGGCTTGCAAACTTGTGATTTTCTAATTCTCTAAATCTTTCTACATGTATTAGCTGTCATTCTTCTGTAAAAAGAGCTTTCCCTCATCATTTGGGCAGTTAGGTTATCTGGAAATATACTTACTGTGGAAACTATTTTTTAATTCAAGATTGTTAAGGAACTATAAAAGGGTTATAAGAGAAGAAAGTCTTTAGGAGCTTGTAGCTTGGTTGGTAGACAAAACAATGTACATGAACATTAGGAAGTAAGACAAGATGTTATGTGTTATATATTAAGAGATTTGTATATATCATGAGTTCAGGGGAGGGAGAGGTTAATAAGAACCAGAAACATCCTAGAGATTTTGCATGAATGGTTGATTTCAGCTTGCCTTTGAAGGACAGGCAGATTTTAAATAGGTGGACAAAAGGGAAGAAAGTAGTCCAGTCAGTGTGACTGGTGAGAACGAAGACACAGGGAAAGAGGATACTCTGGAGGTGTAATAAGGAAACCATTCTGGGGCCTCCCCGGTGGCGCAGCGGTTGAGCGCTGGGTTGCGAAGCTGCCCACAGCCTCTGCAGCACCCGTTTGATCCCCGGCTGCTCCCCGGCCACTGGAGGAGGGTCGCAAATGGCACGCAGACCTCTCCTGCCACCCTCTGCTCCCCTCAGCAGTGTACTTCGGTCCTTCTGCCTGTTCTGCTCCCCACTCTGGCTCTGGTGAATTCTCTCACGCTCCCGCACTCCTGACTGTGCCAGTGCTTGTATAAATAAATAAATAAATAAATAAATCTCTTTTTTTTTTTTTTTTTTTAAAGAAACCATTCTGTCTAGAGACACTGAGAATATGGTTTTGGAAATAATGTGGGGGAGGTTGGTAGGCCAGAAGCAGAGCATAGGCAGTCTAAAATGTCATTTCAGGGAGGTTAACTTTTGTCCTGTAATCATTGTATGCTTTATATACTTTGGGAATTTGTGAATTAGCTTCTTAACTGATACAAAGCAAAAATCTGACTTTGTAAAAAGCTAGAAATAAGACCAATGAGACCAACTTTGGGATGCTCAGAGATGGGAATGTGGTTGCCACTCAGATAAATGTCTTTATCTTGTTTCCTCTGCAGCCCGTGTGACCCCAACTCTACCAAAGCAGGACCGTCCTGTGCGTGAGGGGACCCGGGTAGCTTCCATTGAGACAGGCTTGGCTGCAGCAGCTGCGAAGCTGGCCCAGCAGGTAGGTTCTAACATCCGGGACCGTGCTACTGGTCCCAGTTCAAAACTCAAAACATTTAGGCTGACAGGATCCTTCTGTTGTTGGGGAGTGGGTATCCTTTCATCACAGCAGTGTCCCAGCCCTCTCCTGTATGCTACACACTCCAATTCAATGACAAGATACTTCACACAGTTGATAAGACAATGGAAAATAGAGGACCAGAAAAAAGGCCCTTGGTTATATCACTTGCATTTCTGGACGTGTAAAAACTTCTCAGCTGGGAAGGGTCAGCTTTGTCCTTGGGGCTTCATATGAAGCCCTGAGGAGGTGACTCAGCTGAATACACTCAAGTTCTCAGCCACCCACCAGTGTCAGAATTTGTTTTTTTGGGGATACTTTTCTTATCCAAATAGTTTTGCCTTGATGTTTTCCCCCTGCTTCCCAAAAAAACTTCTCCCACTAATTTTTGTCCTGAAGGGTGACTTCAGTAGAATTAAGTTCACCTCCAAGCATGTTACAATTTGCAAAGTACTTTAGTGTGTAATGTGCTCAGCAACCTTGGGAGCAGTGGAAAGTGAATCTTCTGGTTCTGTCCTTTCAGTATCCCTTTAGGTTCTCATGACAGTTCTGTATTTCCAAGCATTTGTTGAATATATGCTTTATGTTAGGTGCTTCCATGTACAATGTCTCATGTAATCTGCCCAATAGCCCTGTACAATAGGTTATATTTTCATCATTTTACAGGTGAAGAAAATGAGGCTCTCTTTAAGTGACTAGTCCAGGATAATACAGCCAGTAAATGGAGGAGACAAGATTCAAACTCATATCCTCTAACTTCCTATTTTATGTTACGTGCTATTTAAATAAACTAAAATAGTTTAATGTTTATATAATTCAGAATTTTCATCCTATTCAAATAAAATATAATAGAATTATGTTTTTCATTTGATGTTCTTTGGAGCTCTGGAGTTGTTTAGAATGTCTTAGAGGCTATTGATGGGAGCCAGCAGAGACTAAACAGGCCAGACAACCCTTCTTTGACCAGGACTTATTTCTATTATGTATATCCTAGTGCCATGTAAGATATAATTTGAAAAAAATATAATTTGAATGCAGATAAATTAATTAAAGTTGTGAAAATACTCTTAGTGCCGTCTAAAGAATTCACTTCTGTTTGGGTTGATCAGGGATGACCTCAAAGAAGAGGTTTTGAAGTTGGGGAAGGGTTTTGAGGGCTAAGCTCTCAGAGGGGACAGGGAGCATTCCGGGAGTAGGGAACTCATTGGTACAGTACATAGACCTTGATTTGGCCTTTGATCACCTCTCCTCCCTGACCTCCTGCCAGCCCCTCACATATGCCCTTTATACCAACCCCATACTATCATACTACAGTACTTGTAGTTCACTCAGTGTGTCAGATTGCTTGATGCCTCTGTGCCATTGCACAAGCTGCTCCCTCTGCCCCTTTGGAATTATTCCCTCTCAGATTCCTCATCTTACACTCCTTCACACTACCTACCACTAATTGATTTCATGATCTTTTGTGCTTCCATAGCATTCTCTCCTGGTACTTACAGGTGTACTTTCCTGTGTGCCTTATTAAATTTTAAGTGCCCCAAGGGTGGGGATATGTCTAATTTAATTGGTATCCCTGTGCTAAGCATGTGTTTAGTCAGTGTTGGATGAGTGAATGAATGAGTAAGTGAATGAGCAGATCTTTCTGGATTGCAGGCTTCATATTGGGGATTGGGGTAAGAAATATAGAGATTGAAAAATGGATTCTGGAGCTAACCTGCCTGAATTTGAATGCTTGCTCTACCACTCGAGCAAGTTACTTAATTTCTCTGTGACTCAGTTTCCTATAGACTTTGAGGATTAGATGAATAGATATAAAAGCTTTGAGAACAGCACTTGCCAGAGTAAGTACTACAGAGATGTTAGCATTTCTTCATCATCATTATGGGTTGACTAGCTGTAAGTAGCCAGACTATGAAAAACCATGGATGTCAGACCAGGGAACTTGAACTTGGTTGGAGACCTGTTAACTGCTTCTTGAGCAAGTGAATTACAAAGTGAAGGTGGCACTGTCATAAGACAGTCTAGTCTTCTGTGGTGGAATCTGGATGAATTATATGAGAAAGAGATTGGCAATAACGTTGGGAAGAAAAACTGACTTCATGATCTAAGTTTGAAGAGATAACTTCTAGATTCAAATGAGAGAAATCCAGAATTCAGAGCAGAAGTGCAGTTCCTAGTATGGGTGGAATAGTAGTGTGGCTAAGAAAAGAGATTCTAAAGTCAGATGGCTTGGATCTGAATTCCAGCTTTGCCACTTATTGGTCCGATAACTTTGAAAAAATTATTTAATCTCTCATTGCCACAGTTTCTTCTCCTAAAAATGGTATTGTGATTCTTCTCATACTTCGAGTATTAAGTGACTTAGATTATAGAACAGTGCCTGGCATGTATTATTAATATTATTATTCTTGTCCCCAGAAATTCCTTTGGTAGCCACAGCCGGTCAGATCTTCAGAAGGCAGGAGTAGGCCCGTGTTGCCATGAGAAAGCAAAGAAATATAATCACTGAGTTGGTCTGTGTGGCCATGTAGCATTTCAGAAGGTGAAGTCAGTCGTTCACATGCTCTCAGCACCATCTTTCCAGGTTCTCAGGGCTCCAGATGCCCACTGTACAGGTACCCACTACACAGTAGATCCATAGAGCAATGGAAGGATGAAATCCAAGATGCTGGGAGAAGTGACACAACACCTTATTTATCCTTTCCATCCCAAATTGAGGTTTTAAGACTTCATGACCTGAAGGTTTGTCAAATTGACTATTAAAAGAAAAATACCTGCAAGAAAAAGAGAAACTATTATAATAGATAAAGATAAAATAATTTCTGCTTGTTGAGTACCTAGTATGTGCTATGTGTTTTAACATCATTATTTTATTTAATCTTTCCAACAACCTTGAAAAACAGATACTATTTTGGCCATTTTACGGGTGAGGCAGTTGAGATTCAGAAAGGTTAGTAACTTGACTGAGGTAATCCAACTTAGGGAGCACAAACCTGAATTTGAACCCAAGTTTCTCATTCTAAGCTACTACTTTCACTCTCAGATGTCCCATTTTGAGAACTGTGCACACTGGGTGTTCATGTAGACCTGTTTGAATTCTGAACTCAGTGACTCTAGCTATGAGGCTTTGAGCTCATTGCTTTCTTATCCCTGTACCCCAGGTTTTTCATCTGTACACTGTGGGACTTTCCTTCACAGGGATGTTCTGAATATTAAATGAGATAAAATATATAAAGTGCCTTAGCTGCTGGCATAGATTTTGCTGTTATTATTACAAGTGCCCTTGGTTCTCCTTGTAAATGGCAATGCTAGACCCAAAACCCAAGTCTCTGAACTCATTTTCCCTTCTCTTGCCACTGTACTGATTAATGGGGTGAGTTAGGATAGATGATACCAAAGAGATTACCTCAGGTACTGGAAAGCCTGTGTGTTGTGTGTTATACATTCAGGTTAGACTTGGGGTGGTGGTGGGTTGTAGAACCACAATGCCCATTGATCAGTCTACTTTCTGGAAAATTTCTCTTTTCTACACCTAAATTCTCCTCTCCCATTTGACTGTGTTTCAGGAGTTGCAGAAAGCCCAAAAGAAGAAATATACTAAGAAGAAACCTTCATTGAAGGAGGTAGAACAACCTCGCCCTCAGGAGTCCAATCTCAGCATGGCAGCACCAGCCCCAACACTGGCTGCTATACCCCAGCTTCTCACCTCCTCCTTGCCCCTGCCACCTCCTGAGCCTAAACAAGAAGCCCTTTCTGGAAGTCTTGCTGACCATGAATATACTGCTCGCCCCAATGCCTTTGGCATGGCACAGGCAAACCGCAGCACCACACCCATGGCCCCCGGTGTCTTCTTGACCCAGCGTCGCCCTTCAGTTGGATCCCAGAGCAATCAAGCAGGACAAGGTATGACTGCCCATATGGTCATAGAATTGAGTAGCATGTTACATTCTACCAGCTCCAAACCCTAAGCCCTCTGGTAGATGAGAGCACTTGGAAGGGACACTGATGGTCAACCTAAGGGACTTGGACTTGATCTCACTGGTCATGAAGAGACACTGACTGGTTTAGTTAATCACAGACAAACTCGGATATGGGTTTAGATGATCCTTCAGGTAGCCAGATTGGAGGGTGGGCTGCAGGTGGGAAGTCCAGGTATAGCATATACAGGTTCAGGCTGCAGTGAAGAGAGGCTAGGGCTCTGGAAGGGGCCTGGAGAGGGAGGAAATAAATTGACGAAATATAGATGAGGTCACATGGGACCTGAGAGGTGATTTGATATGGGGAGAGAAAAGGAGCCAGGGCAAAGGGATTCGACCTTCCTTTTCCTTACTTTGACCCTTAAAGTCCAGGCTCTGGGATATGTAGCTCAACAGTAATAATATTATTGTGACATTGGGTAAGGAGGATGGGGATTTGTAATGAAACAAAGCCTAGGGATGGCATCTTCAGGGACACTGAATTATAATCACTAACTAGGCACTTGTCCAATTTTGGTGGGCAGGCTAAGAGGATGTGGGGAGGTACAATCAACTTCCTACAGAATTTAGAAAAGAAAATGATGGGGACCAAAGACTCAGTGGGGAAAAGTAATCAGACAGACTGTAACCAGCTGCTGCACTAGTTCATAGGAGGAAGAGCCAAGGCATGTGGTGTTGTATGGAGTAGTTAAGAAGGGCTTCTTGCTCAAGATAGGCTTGGAGCCCAACATAAGGATGGAGAGACTCTAGGGAGAGGAATGGGGGAGTGTGGGAGACTGAGGACGGTTTATGCTTGAGTTGCTGTTGGAGCCTTTGCCATTGCCTTTGCTTATTTCTCCCTTCCCCCACAGGAAAGCGTCCCAAAAAGGGCCTGGCCACAGCAAAGCAGAGACTCGGCCGTATCCTAAAAATCCACAGAAATGGCAAACTCCTTCTGTGAACCTCCTTTTGTGCTGCCCCTCACCCCTTCACCCCCACTGCCTTCTCATTGTCAATTCTCGGGGCACTCCTGGATCTTATCTGCCCCGGACAAGGTGCTGAGGCGCATTGTCCTGCTTTCTTGGAACTGACCAAAGGCATGGACTCCCCGCAGACCCTTCACCAACTCCCCCAGTTCCCTTCCCCACTTCCACTAGAGCATCCTGCCTGCCTTCTCCATATCTCTGAGTAGCAGGTGAATGGGAGAAGTTTCTAGCAGAGTAGAACCCTTTTTGCTGCTGCCCCAACCCATGTCCTTTTCACTGACCTTGTCTGTCCTTTACTCTTGTCCCCACCTAGAGCTGGAAGGCAGGACAAGGAAAGGCATGAGAGCCTGGGTCCCTGACTGTTTCCCTGGTTATGAAGTGGGCCCATTGCTCAGTACTTTCCACAACTCCAGCCCTGTCTCTAGAGGCCTGCCCACCTCTGCCCATTCTTCCTTCCCCTCTCTCCCCTTAGTGACTGTGACCTGTCTTCAGACCTATCCCTGGGAAAAGGATCTGACCTCTGCCCCCTCTTGCCAAATGCTTCATGAAAATAAAGAGGAGGGCCCACAGTCCCCTTATTGACCCACTGCAGGCCATTTCCAGTAGCCTAGAAAGGCCATTGGTTTACTTCACTCATCTTTGGGAAGAAGGGAGATTCCTGTCACTTCTGAAGGTGGGGAGAGGACAGATACCCAAGTTTTCAATATTACTTTGTAGCCCACTGGAGGAAGCTACTTTGGGGTGGCTATAGATGATGCCCAAATCCCCAGATGAACTCTCAGGATTAGCCTGAATATTATGGTCCTACAGAATATTATCCACCTGGCTGTGGCTGGACTCCAGCAGGTGAAAAACCATCTCCTAGAAGCCTGAAAGCACCTGTCACTGAAGCAAATAACCATGGACCTGTGGCCTGCTCCCTTCACCTGTACCACAGAAAATAGTTTGGACTTTCTGAAGAGGATGTGCCAGGACATCTCACCCCTGGGTTCTACATGGGGAGCCTCCTCGCTTCTTTCTCCACCTGAAGACAACCTCAGAATTCATATAGTCACTCCTGGGCCTTTGTACTCCTGGATGTCAGGTCAACACTCCAGCAGAGTACAGATGGGCCACCTAGAGCCTGAGCCTAGGAGAGGAGACAGCCATCTGCGAAGGAGCAGATCATCTGACCTGTCCCACCCCTCTACCCTTCAGGGATGTCTCTATTGTCCAGACAGTGCCCATTCCCTCTTTAGCTCCCCCAGCTCCCTCCATCTCTGCTGGTCTTGCCTCCCTGGTATCCTAGAGTGGATGGAGAATACCTCCCCTACTCCAATTTGGTACTGCCCAAGTAGAACATGTCCTTACCCTCTATTCCCCACTCCAATCTTCTCCAAGTTTGCACAGTGCTTCTGGGAACTTAACAGCTACCATGCAGGCCACAGAAAATACGTGAGGCTTCCCTTGTCATCTTGGTGTCTATAGTTTATCTTTCTTTTCTCCACAGCCCCACATTTACTGTCCTTCCTTGAAATCAGGTCCCTTAACCCCATTTACTTTTTCTATTTTGGGGATCTCAGGGGCCAAGCAGTCCTCCATCTAGTCACACCAAAGGCAAAAAGCCTGACTACCTCCCTCCTAACACATGAGGTTCCCCCCTCCCCTCCCCTCTGTTTCCACCCAGCTTTGCTTTTCTTGGGGATTTCAAGGCAACAGGGGGTACTGAGCAGGGAAGAGGGCAACCTGTGTTCCTGTGTAGGCAACTGCCTAACTAGGTTCTGACTGCTATCACCAAGACCAGGACCCCAGCCCTTCTGCCCATTAACCACCACCCCTCATTGATCTTTCAAAGGCAGCTAATTGCTAGCAGACCCCTCCTGGTTCTGGCCTCTTTCTTCTGTGTCTTTGTTAGAAGTTTCTGTGGAGCTGAAACCCAACCTCCATTTCACTGGGTTTCATTTAGTATAGTCGGGCTCTCAGAGCCTTCTGTTTGTTTTGTATTTCAAATGAAAAGCAAGTTTACCCTCAGAGTTATGCTTTTCCAAAGAGGCTAATGAGCTTCCCCTCACCCCCTTGTTTCAGGTTCTAAGTGAAGTGAGTTGGGGAGGGGTAGGGAGTGGTAGTAATCAAGGTTCAAAACATGCTGAGTTACCTCTGGTCTCTAATCCCCAGCACTGAGCTGAGGGTTGGTGAGGGGGCAAGGAGAGAGGATTTGTATTCACCCTTAATATATTTTTACAAAAAAGCAAACAATTTAAAAGCAAGCCCACCGCTTCTGTACATGTCTAAATATATTTTTAGAAGTGGGTAGGATTGTGAATTTCTGATGCAGGGCCTTTTTATAAACAGGTTAGAATAGCATCATACAGACTTCTCTGTTGGTTTTTTCCCGATTTTTTCTTATGTTGTGTTACTAATGTAATTTATATTTTTTTTTAGATCCTCCCTTTCCTATAGAGATAAAAGTGATTTATCTTGGCAACTGCTTTGTTTCGCATTCTTTTTTTGTGGGAAGGGAGTTGGGGGCATCCACAGTGCCTTTTCTTTATACTTTGTCTCTCCCTCCAATCAACTCATCACTTCCCTGTAGCCCAACCTTATACCTGAGGTGGTTAGGCAAAAGGATCCCTGCCCACAGAGAGACATAAGTCACATGCCAGAAACATATAACGAGGAGTACTGTGAGTGTTATAGGACAGGGAGAGGGGTAGCCCAAGCCCCGCAAACCTGCCTATTCTAAATGGGTTCTGCCATCCGCCGCATCAACACAAAACATATGAGACTTTAATGGGAAGGAACTTTAATAAAACTAGGAAACAATACAGGTAAGGCAAAGAGTCTAGTTTCTAAATGAAGCACCCAAAGTTACCCGTCCCCTCGTGGGTAAAAGTCCATCCATATGGGATTGGCCCAGAACAAGGCCCCAAAGCCTGCCACAAGTCTAAAGCATCTTCCTGTGGGGACCCACAGAAAAGGGTCAGAAACAACCAGACAAGCCCGGAAGGAAAAGAGCAAAATCAACATCAAGATAAAAGCTGCCATTGTCACCATCCCATGGGTCTCACCCACGTCTGTGTCACCCAGTCCACAACCCAAAGACAAGCGCAGATTCTTCACGTGTCTCTAGGCTCCATGCGCCTCCTCCAGGTCTCCTGGCTCCATCCTGCTTCCTTCCTTCCTCAGTCTCTTCTGCAGCTTCTCCTCTTCCTGCTCAGCTCCACCCTTCCTTGGGTGGGGCAGGGAACCTGGAACCTCCCCCTTTCCTGGGGACCACCCTGTTACATGAGCAAGAAAGACAGGGTACAACACCTTAAATGGACCTGACTGATACCGTAATGTCAGATTTTCAGGCCTAGTGTCCCACCCAGGAATGGATCCCAGGCTACAGTAGCAGTGCTGAGTCCCAGCCACTAGACCACCATAGGTTGGTGTCTCATGAAGCCGCAGCAGAACTTCACTGGTGCTCAGGCAAGCAAGCCAGAAGAGGCAGGTTTGTTTAGAGAAAGAAAAAGTTTATTGAGGAGAAAAGGAACAGGCTGGCCGAACCAGGTAGGGGGGAGGGGCAAGGGAGCTGAAGTGGAATCATGCCTTAGGGAAGATAGAACTTCTTTCCCTAATTATTTTAAAGCTCCACCAGTCTCTTTATGATTGGTTAGATCTCAGTGATCTCACTCACTGCCTAAATGTCTCTGTGCCCAGAACTAAGTCTCTGTGTCCCAGATCTTATCTTAGAGTCCTTTTTCTTTGTCATTCTTGTCCAGGAATGTCCTGTTGCCCCAAGTCCTGGGGTGTTTGATTAGTCCCCTTTGGAATTTGTTGTCCTTATCTCTATAGCCCACCTTATTCCTCTGAGGCTTTTCCTATTCTATTCTGACCCTAAGGGAGCTCTGCTTGCCCTATGCCTCATGACCACACTTGTGGGGAAGGATTCGTAGCTTTCATGAACTGTTTTCAGAAACTATACCTCTTGTCCTCTTTCTGTAAATGTAGAGTTTGGGGTTTTGGGTTTTTTTCCTTCTTCCCTCTCTCTTTCTGACATGTTCCTCCAGGCACTTGTACAATATGAACTTAATTGCTGTGCTTGGGGCTAGTGCAAGAAATAGAATATAATTATTAGAGCCAACACATCAAGTTTGTCTCTTTGTGCCAGACACTGCTCTTAGTGTCCTATGTATATTGATTCATTTCATCCTCACTAATATCGTTGGCCTACAAATGAGGAAACAGAGGCAAAGAAACCTTCCAGAATCACACTTTAGTCATGGGGATTGTTGTGCCCAAGATCAGCAGACTCGGCGAGTATAGCCTCCAAGAATCCAAAGACAGCTGATGCAAATGCAAAAGGGAGTTTATTACAGGCTCGAGTCCAGGCTCACGGCACCTACCAACACAGTGGCAGATAGCGAGAGCCCCGAACAGAGGAAGCAGGGGTCTATTATAGGGTCATAAGCGGCGCGAATTTTGAAAGAAGCTGGCGATTACTCATTGGCTACTACAAAGGCATTTTGGCATGCACAGTTATAGTTTCAAACTGATTGGATGGTTAGTGATGCTGTCCCATTTATGGATAGGACTGCCCTCATTGGCGCCTGGGGTGGTCTGCTTTTTTGTCACCAAGTGGAGTGACGGTTGTGACTATTGAAACTATCTCCAGAATGCGGCTGTACAAGGACTAACATATCAAGGTGGAGGATATACAAAATGGCGAAACCTTGGCTAAGCTTGGTTCCACAGGAATAATCTGGTTCCAGCATCTGTATTCTTACCATTTTGTTCTACCACCTCTCACTGAGAGCTGCTACCATTTATGAAGTGCCTTTCCCATGCCCGGCTCTGGGCTATGGGATTTAGTTAGGATATGTCTTTTAATTCTCACTGACAACACTGTAAGCTAGTGATTAGCCCTATTTTATAGTGAAGAAGACTGAGGCTTACCAGTGGTCTCCCACAGCAGGATCTGGTGTGAATTCGAAACTCAGGTTCTTTCTCCTCACCACTTTAGAAAACCGTTTGCAGTTTAATGACCCAGCTGATGTTTACTGACCACCTGTTGCGTGCAATATGTAGATTGAGAGCTCTGTCCTGAGGAAAGACCCCTGGGTGTTGGAAGTCTCAGTTCCAAATTTACCACCACCTTCTCTGTATAGCCTAGAGCAGGCTACTTGCTATCTAAGATCGTTGTGAAAAAGGAGCTTGAACCCAATTGAAATTTCTTCATCCTGGAGATTTTACTTATGAGAATCTGTGTTGAGGCTGTGGGTTTGCCACCTACTGGCTAAATGACCTCCAGCTCTCAATCTGAATCTTGGTATCAGGCAGCATTTGCATAGAAGTTTCTTATCTAGGGCAAGGGGAAATGTGTCTTGGAGAAAGGCTACAGGAAAGAAGGGAGGGATTTCAGAGCCCTTGCAGGAATAGTGGGTTGGGTCCCCAGTGAAGGACCAAAGCACCATCACCAGCCTCAGGTTACAGGATAAGCTAGTCTTGGTCACCTTACTCCTCATTCAGGAGGTGCCAGATTAGAAGGTCCAGTATGAAAACATGAAGGAGAAACAGTACTTTCAATTTCAGTCTCACCTCTTCAACATGGAGTGGAAAATATACAGGACTTATCACTAAGAGTCTGCTTTTCTCAGTGACTAACCAAGTAATTTGGGGGAGGTTCCTTGTCTGGGTCTCAGTTTCTGCATTTACTAGATGGAATTATCTCAGCAATGAAGACCTCTAGAAGTGTGACCATCCCTAAACTTTCTGGATAGTATTGAGTCCCAAACTGAGTCATCTATCCCTCGCCTGTCCTGCACACAGATCCCTATTTTTGTTTGCTCACGCTGAATTCCTTGGCTCAAATGCACGGCCCCTCCCTTTCTATCAGGACTGTTCACACAAATTTGACTGCAGTGGTACTTCTCATACAGTATGTTGGGTGAAGGAGAAGAGCACCATAAGCATGGTGTTAGGGATGGGCATAGGATGCTGGGCAGGGGATCTGTCTCAGGGAAGCAAGGGTTCAGGTAAGTCTTCCTGTCAGGGGTGATGCCTGAACTGAAGGATGAAAAGTAATTAATCAGGTACAGAACAGCAGGAAGAGTATTCCAAGCCAAGGCATTAGCATGAACAAAAAACAAGTGAGGAGGAGGGAGTGGGTATAGAAAAGAACAATAAATTTAATATAATTTCAGCTATAGCTTTCTTCTAGGGAAACATGCAGAATCTCCAAGAGGGAATGTGTAGTTTGAGAAAGCACCTAATCAAAATTGATCAGTTTTTAGGCATAATATTAAAAAACCTCAGATAATAGAAGATTTTGGTGTTTGTCAAAAGACTTAGTTGTACCCCATGAAAAACCATTAAAGGCATTTAAGTAGAAATGGTATAGAATCTTTTTTAAAAGATTCCTTTGCCATTCAGGGAGAGAGATGAAGGCAGGAAACAAGTGAGAACATTACTGTAGAGGGATGGAGAGACTACCCTAATACCACTTCCCTAAGGAAGACTTCACCCAACTCCAGTCAGTTCTAACCAGTTTTCTGGACTATATTCTATGAAGGGTGGAAATTGCAGATCATTTCCAGGAGGCAGAATCACGGACTTTGCCACACAAGCCAAGAGACAGAAATCACATTCCTCTATCCCCTTTTTTTAGCTTTTTAACTTTAAAAATAGCTTACTTTTCCAGGCCCTCTTCTTACCCATGGGACCACAACATAATGCCAGCATTCACTAATAAATATGTAAGAAAGAAGCAAAATACCATTTTGTGTTTTCCTTGTTGGGAGTCCAGCAACCTTCATTCCACCATACACAACCTTTCAGCATTATCTCCCCAAAGTTCTATTTTCATCACCCCCTCCTGCTTAACATTTCATTATTTCCCAATATTTATTATATCTTCTGAATTTCAAAGTTTTTCAGAAACTAAAGGCAATGGACTTGAAAGAGATGGTAGGAAGAGGATGTACCTGGGAGTTGAAAAGACCAGTGATTTAATTCCAGATCTGACACCTATGTTATCTTGTACTGGCTTCATATTTCCTGACTCAGTTTCCCCCTGTAAAATGAAAATATAATCCTTACCTCATAGTGTTAAGGAAAATTATAGTAGCTAGTATCTTTAAAGAACTTAATTTAGCATCTGGTACTCAGGTGATCAGAGAATGTAGTTTAATTTTTCCAGTTAAATTTGCCCGACATTGACTATGTATCTTATAAGAACCACAGAGGAAACAAGACTTTAGAAGAACCACAAAGTATGACTTCAAAAGAATTGGAGGAAATATTTCAAATTGGGGCAGGAAATTCAGTTAGCTTCATGAGAAAATGGTGTTTGAAAGACAGAGATGGCTGAGGCAATAAGTATGGTAAGCCTTATAACTGTAAGGAAGAAACAGCTAAATCTAGGACACAAAGCTGCTGGGAGATGCCAAATATCATCTATGCCATTTCAGTATTATTGTGTCAGTTCTATAGTAGC